TGAACCCCCAGCACCTGGTAGTAGAGTCCCACTCTATCAACCAGGAGAGGATTCACTGCCAGTTGCAGGGGCTGTGCAGCAAGTCACACATGCCCTGGTGCATTTTATGTAATTATATTTTAATTACATGTAAATTTCATTTCATTTAGTTAGGGGTTTTGAATAGCTGTGCTCATTTTTTTTGCTTAACTTTTGAGATTTTTGGTCTTTAAATGACTTTGAAAACATCATATTCTTTCTGTAGTTTACTTCCTCCTGATGCTGTTCATAGAGTTTATACAGCTTTTTTCTTTTGATTACTCTAGTATTTCTATATTTTTTTGATTTCTGATATGTTTTTTGCCTTTCATAATTATTTTGAATATTTTTCAGAGATTGACTAACCCTCCCCCCTTCTGGGATGGGGGCACCCACACCAGCACACAAGATCTTTATGGATTCCCCCGGGCCATTATTTGTACTGTGAGCTGCACTGTGCGCCCGACCGTGAAAGTTGCGTGCAAAAGTGACATTCTTAGGCAGTGACCGCCTTAGACGCCTATTGAAGCTCTCCACTTTCTGTGTATTGGTATTAAGAATGGATTTGTCTAGCACTGACGGGGCAAGCCGCCTATTGACACAGGCCTGGAGAATCCTTGCATTGGCCCTGGAGTATGGAATTTTGAAGTTTCCATCAAGGTAAGCACTTTTAGCGAGCCAATTTTTCTTTCCACCCTTGCATACTAAGGAGTGTTTTTTGCATAAGGCATGTTCACCCATGTAGCAGCAAATTATGGCATCACTCACATAGGAGAGTTGCTTCTTAATTTTGCATGCATGACCTGTGCATTTTATTTGTGCCTGATTTATTTCACCAGTGCATCTGTCTGTAAAATCTATAGCAAAGTTATGTAGCAGTTTGATTCTTTCAGCTTTAGTATTTTTGGGCATAATTTTCTGTAAAGATTCATCTTTCTTGATGGCCTTTCTGACATTTTCAGCAAGATGCCGAGTGTCGACAAAATGTCGCGGTTCGTCCGATAGTTTGCCCTCGGCATACAAAGACTCTGCAGCCTTGAATATTGTACTGTCAGGGTCTGACGTAATGTCCTTGACATTTAAATCATTCTCGAGAAGGTCCTCTATGCCCTCTTTGGCCCAGGTGAATTCGTCACCAATGTTTTTGGTCATGGGTATATTTGCCCCACATGTCTGCTCAGTGCACACATGGCTTGGATTGTTCTTGAGGTGCTGTCGCTCAGGACATATTTTGTTTTTGGTCACTAAAGATATTATCTCGTGACTACTGGTCACATCTTCTGCAATTGAGAAGACGGTCTGTGTAGCAGGCTGGAAGGGGGTTTCCCCCACCCCGGAGTAGAGGGAGTTATTATACATCCCATCGCACTGAATTCCTATGTTGTTTGGGTTTGGGGCCCCCCGCAATTTATTAATATTAACTAATTTCTTACATCTTTTTTTCATATCACTCTTATTCAGGGTAACTACTTTTTGCATGACAGTGTTACTTGTCTTTTGTAGTGAAGACTCGGCTGGAGGTGGAGTGTTGGTGGCCATAAAAATTTTGCGCAGAGATGAACTGCCAATGGGGGTTTGACTTAGACCTACTTGTAGGCCATAGTTTATTGTTGCTGCTTTCCTTCCCCTGGAATTGGACTGCACTTCCACATAGAGCTTGTGCATTTCTGAAGTGTAAGGGCACCTGCTGCATTTCAGCCGTAGTCGAGTACCCAGGCCACGCCTCTCCTCAGAGTCCATGTCCCAGGTCAGGTTGCCGTCACATCCAGGGTTGGTCCTCCCATGTTCTTTGAAGGCTGTATTGAACAGCCCACTTGTCTTTTGAAGATGGAGCAGTCTGTGGGAGTCTGAATCACACCTACCGAAACCAGTTTTGTATCTGATCACTTCCTATCCAGGTAAGTTCATTTTCAGAAATTAGAGTTACTCCCCTTAGACTATACTTGTTTTCAGAATTGAGACAAAAGACTCATCACAGTCTGTAGAAACTGGTTTTGTAACTTTTTTCCTCAAATAAATGATCAATTTTAAAGAATGTTATGATAATTTAGAGAATTAATTAATTATGAGTTAATTAAGCTGATTAATTGGACATGATCTTAGGTATACCCCTTATTTCAGGCATATTGGCCTTATATGGGCCTATTCTAATAATTAGAAAATTTATTTACTAATTATAGAGGTTTAATTTCATTATTTATTAAATTTTAAAGAACTGTAGTTAATACCCCATGGATTCGGCCTGCATCAAAGCCTCAGGATTCTCTTTCTTTTTCAGGGGTCTTGGCCGCAGCAACCGGTGGCACCCAGGTCGCAGCATCATTTCCTGTTCCTCACTCACTGAGGGTGGATGTCTCACCAGTTCCAGGGTTTCCCGGTCTACTCTTGTGAATGGTGCAGGTGAGTTTTCTTCTTTGTTAAGTAATTTTCCCTTGTTGTGAGGCACATATTCGGGTTTAAAACCATAATTATTCCCTCTTTTGAATTTTCCCATCTTTGAAACCTGACTGAAAATTTTACTATGGATACTGTGTCTGAAGTGAAATTCACTTGTGATGTGCTTTTTCCATTGCTCTATCAGCATCATGTCAAGTTAAGGTGTTATCGTGCAATAATTTATTATCATGATAGGAATTAGCCAGCAACCCTCACTGCAAAATGTAGGTGTATTGAAGGGGGTAATGACAGTTTTACTGCTACAGAGAAACAACACTACTAGATCAGATTACCTCTCATCTCTTTTGATAACCTTCTCTTAATTGGCTGTCAGCTGCTTAGTGATTTTATTTTGAATTGTAAAATTAAATACATGTTAAAAACATTTTTTCTCAATAATTTGATTTTTTTTGGCTATTTTTTTTAAAACCGGGTACAATATACCCTGAATGTGAAAATTACATGTAATCCCTCAAATCCTCTTGAAAACATAAGAAATAACACTGTTAGTCAGTTAATTACATATTTTATTTCATAATCACTGTAAAAAGTCAATATGAAGTTCACTTTCAATACATCTTCATATCACAGTTGCATTCATTCTGTGTAGGGGGGTTACATTAAATAGATAGTCATAATTTACATGTTTTTACATGTAATTTCTTCAGGTTACATATTTTAAATGTACAATACACATGTTATCTAAAAATGTCAAATTGGCCACTTTTTCACTTTGTTATCCATTTGGTTATAGGAAAAACACCAGAATTGCCTAGGTACAGGGGGCTGCCATCTTGGACACCCAAAGTTGTGCGGAGAAGAAAAGCTGACAGGAGTCCTGATTGGTCATTAAGAGAAAATCTTTGTGGTGGAATTTGACAGTTAAATATAAGTGATAAAAATTATATGTGATATAACAGAATGTGTGAAAAGATATAGGACTTGTAAAGGAAGACTTGAGATGAGGGGTGATATTTTGCTGGACAGTTTCATTCAGTGCGGATCTATACCAGTTGTAAACAGGCCAAAATTTAAAGGAAAAACGCAACGGCACGATATATTTTTCGTGGTGGAATTTTGAAGAAGAGGTGTTGAACTTTCTTTCACAGTGACTGATTTTTTGAATATTGATTATATAAATAAGTGACAGTGATTGGAATTTGTATGGAAGTCTATGGGAAAACATTTGGTGGTGTTTGTCCTATAAGCTAGTTAGAGAGAAAGAGAGTTGAGCAAGCATGAATTTATAATTTGTTACTATGTCAGTTCTGTTGTCGTTTGTTTATTATGTTTGATAGAGTTCTGAGAGATGAAAGTGAGCATTAGGTTGATTTGTGTGAGAAACTGGAGAGTAAGAGATTTGGTATGGCCATGCCCTGAGAACATGTGATAACAAGAGTAGAGAATGAGTTTGGAAGTCAATGAGAGTGGATGTATCTTATAATTGTGAACTTTGTGTATTACTATAAATATATTGCGTGTGTTGTAAATATGTAAATAAACTATGTAAATAAAAACAATCGTAATTATTAATCAGTGCCAGTGACAGGGAGGACCCCCGTCACATGAGCGTACAAAAATAGTTATTTAATTTTTATGCTGTAACCTTGAAAATATGTATACATATTGATTTGCATAATATATAAATGTATGTTTGAAAGATGGCGAATAGAGAAAACATGCACGCGCACTAGTGCTATCCGTGCCTTACTTCTGTATTTTGGTTTAAATTCAATATTAATTTGATCCGCCACATGTAATTATAGTCTCTAAACCAAATAAAATACGATCTGCGCATGCTTAGTACTTAGCGGAGAGGTCTTTGTCTTAGGCCTAGTCTTACGCCGCTTTCTGAAACGCGATTTAGGCCCGTCTAAATTTTGGCGTAACTTCCTTAGTCGGACTAACTTAGGCTGAAATCTACGACTTTTTGAGAAACGAGCCCCAGAGGCCTGAAGTTGTAAAGACTGAAAAGTGAAGTTCTGCATATGTCGAGGGTATACGAATTCACCTACAACCAGGCCCCTCGCTTTGAAAGGAGCTGCAGTTAAATTGAAATATACGCATTGTAGGTCACGTACCAGATCGATAACATTTTGTAATGTAGTTCATCTTTCAAAGCTTAATTAGAAAATCTTCTATCTTCATTAAGAGTATCTGCGAATGACTCCATATGACCGCGTTCTCAGTAGTTCATTAGGCCTATCCATAAATTAAAAAAAAATGAATATAGGAAATCCCCTGTGATATAAATTTAGAATTTTCGCCGTTAACTGTAAATAAAGACCATGATGAACTGTATATAAACAGTTAAAATATACTTTCTTAGAAACTCAAAGAGTACAAATGTATAATTTACTGTGCACACGTCTAGATACAGAACAACCCTCAAAATAGCTGTATTTTATTGTTGTAAACACCTTGGCCGACAAGGTCGATCAAGCGTTTCGGCGGAAACTTTAAACTCTGCTAGTTATTGTCTCCTAAATAGAAATCAACTCAATGAAATCTAAAATCAATTCTAAAATAATTATAATACAACGTACCTTTGAGTTTGCATTCCATATTACCCCGAAACTTACATGGCTTGCGATCGTGCGAAGCTCAGAATTTTGAATTGTGGCTTATCGTGCGCATTGCAATGCATAGAATAGGTTTAAATAATGTGGATTGGAATGAGACGAAAAAAAAAATACTGGATGGAAATTCAGAAAGAAACTTAACTAATACCCCCCAATATATATATATATATATATATATATATATATATATATATATATATATATATATATATATTGGTATTATACATTTTCATATAAATGAAAACCCAAGCACCTAGATACTACATGTACCATTCTCTCTCCTAAAAGCATCGCATGTTAAATTAAACTTAGTTACATGTACTTAAATTGTTAATACATGTATATGTACAAGTAATGCATGACGAAGTTTTTTTTTCAAACCACAGTATGATCGAGTAAAAAGATTCCCAATCCCCTTGATTTAATTTTCTTACATCCTTCCATTAATCGAATTTTTTTTTAATTTTAAAATTAAAGAGTTGTTAACTATCATTCACATACTAGATGTACCTTATTGATATTATATAGATTACAATTATATTTTTTTATTCTAAATAAAACGAGTTTGATATATTTCTTTTTATTGAAGTGAAACGTTAGGTTAAAATAACTCATGATGGATCGATCAATGACACACTCTATTCCACTCCACTAGCGCTCATATCTATCCTACTCCACATAGTGTTGCCCTTCGTCAAAACAGTAGTTACGTAATATGCGCACTATAATAAGAAAATCTCTAGCGTTTCTCTTCAGAATGTATCCCGGCTGACGGTTTCATGTTGGTGTGCCCCAGCTGAAAACCCTCTCCCCCGATCAAACCTGTCATACCAATTCATGTATATAGGCTCATGAGGCTTATGACGAATTTTAAGGCTAGGGGAAGTGACCAAGTGAAATTCAGCAGCTTATTCTAAGCCATCTTCGCTAGCAAAGGGTTTCCGATCCGAAATCTACTCTGTAGATTTCGGATCGGAAACCCTTGGCTAGCGAAGATGATTCTAAGCTACATCATGTACATTGTATTATATAGAGTTCACTGGAATCCACGGGAAAACTCATATGTACATAGACCATATAAACTCTAATATTGTATGTCTACTAGAGCATATTAGAGGCGTTCGGCCGGGGAGAGAGAGAGAGAGAAACAGGGGCGGATCCAGGGATTTTTTCCGGTAGGAGGTACGTGTTCCATACCCACAAAAAATATCCATCTGAAAATTTTATTGACAAGAAAGAAATTAAAATAATAAAAACTTGACCAAACCTGAAAAATCTTTTTATGATGGTGATGGTGTCTTTGTGGGGGGGGGGCACTTTTCTTTTTTCAGGTACATAACTCTTCTTCCCATTTTAAAAATGGTCCGTGTTTCGAATTGGGTCCGAGGAAGTAATTTTTCGTTAATTATACATAGAAATTTAATAACTTTGAAAATCCCAGCGCCCCCCCCCCTATATACCCCCACCTTCTAGATTCGCCCATGGGGAAAGTGACTGCTCGGGAGAGTTAGGATATAAGTCTGATAACAGTATGGAGAATGGAATTTACAGAGAGAATTTCTGAAAAATTTTAGGGAAAGATCATTAAGAGCTAGAGTTTGGAAACTGTATGGAGAAAGTTCATCAAGAAAGTCTACAATATGGAGAAAGAGAGCGGTAACAGTAGGGGGAATGCTTAGTGAGATCCATGTGTCTGGATTGGAGGATCTAAGGGATTTTGATTTGAAAAAAATTGACCTACATGTACTATTTGTAACATATTTTTGTGCAGATAAATGTAATTCATATTTAAAAGGGAATTTTATTATGGTATATACTGTTAGATAATACAATTCCTATTTTAAAAGAAGCTGAGAATAGTTGTGTATAATACTGGTATATATATTTAATATGCATATAGTTACAATTCAGAGGAATGTCGAATAGCCTTTCCTCTTTAGTCTGTAAGAAAAATCTATTTCCTTATATACCAAAAAAAAAAAAAAAAAAAAAAAAAAAAAAAAAAAAAAAGAGGCCCAAGGGCCATAACGGTCACCTGAGTATAATACAACAATTTAAAGGATCCATAGAGTATAAAATGAACTGAAAGGTAAAGCTTTGTTGTCCAAAAGCAAGAAAAATAGGGTTATCAGGATCAACAAAATAATTAGTCTAGTGTTCATTAACAGTTCATAAATTAGGATCTGATCTGCTCCCTATTTATCGCTAACACCATACAGTATATTAACAAACTATCAGTGCTTCTGTACTAATTTAATTCCTTGTTGAAATCTCTTACATTGGACTATCTTGGTCTTTGATGAGCATTGAATAAGACAAGTTATTTTTGTCTCATTTTTATTTATCTATTACTTACAAGTCTACCTGATCATAAAAACTACGAAAGTACTTTTTGTATTATACGATAAAAAATCTTGCATAATTCTCTTATTCTATTAACCTTTCAAGTACATTATTTACAGTAACTAATTATCAAAAGTAAATGGCAAAGGGGAATAACTCCTCTCAGTAGAATACAAATTAATAGAGCCCTGGCCAGGACCAGAACGCTTGACAAAATGGTCCAGATGTTCAAAAATCTTTATTAAAACTTTTACTCTTTTTGCCTCTGATATGCCCAGGTGCAGAGAAGATTTTCAGAGAAATAATGCATTTTTTTTAATACAGATTCACTATATTATCAATAGAGCCCCCCCCCCCCCCCCGTCCCCACAGAGAAACACCAGAGCCTCTCACCCTGGGACCATGTAAGTAATCACTTTGTTTATCTGATTTACACTAAGGAGCAGACAGGATTATTTAACAGAATTAATGCATTTTCACTATATAAGCAATAGAGCCCCGCCCTAACACCAGAACCCTGACCCTGGGGCCATGAAATTCACAATTTTAGAAGAGGCACTCTTGCTCATTATAACTATGTACTTACTTAGTTTATTAGTTTATTTAATACCCAGGGGCAGAGAAGAAGATTTTCAAAGAATTAATGCATTTTCACTATATAATCAATAGAGCCCCGCCCTAACGCCAGAACCCCTGACCCTGGGGCCATCAATTTCACAATTTTGGAAGAGACTCTCTTGCGTATCATAACTATATACTTGGTTAGTTTATTTAATACCCAGGAACAGAGAAGAAGATTTTAAAAGAATAATTGCATTTTCACTATATAATCAATAGAGCCCCCCCCCCTTTTTCACCAGAACTCCTGACCCTGGGGCCATGAAATTCACAATTTTGGAAGAGGCACTCTTGCTCATCATAACTATGTACTTAGTTACTTTATTTAATACCCAGGTGCAGAGAGGAAGATTTTCAAAGAATTAATGCATTTTCACTATATAATCAATAGAGCCCCGCCCTAACACCAGAACTCTGACCCTGGGGCCATCAATTTCACAATTTTGGAAGAGGCACTTTTGCTCATCATAATTATATACTTTGTTAGTTTATTTAATCCCCAGGAACAGAGAAGAAGATTTTCAAAGAATTAATGCATTTTCACTATATAGTCAATAGAGCCCCCCCCCCCTTTTCACCAGAACCCCTGACCCTGGGACCATGAAATTCACAATTTTGGAAGAGGCAATCTTCCATATTATAACAATGTACTTAGTTTGTTTAAATAATACCCAGGGGCAGAGAAGAAGATTTAAAAAAAAATAATGCACTTTCACTATATGATCTATGTAGTCCCGCCCTAGCACCAGAACCCCTGACCCTGGGGCCATGAATTTCACAATTTTGGTAGAGGGCCCAATGCTTATTACAATCATGCCAACAGTTTGACTGTTTGATGTCCTGGAGTAAAGATGAAGATTTTTTAAAGATTGCATTAATTTTGGTGGTTTTTGCCCCATCCCTCAGGCCCCAGGGGGGCAGGGACCATGAAATTCATAATTTTTCTTTCTCTTTACCCATATATGCTTTATGCCAAATTTGGTTGAAATTGGTTAAGCGGTTTCAGAGAAGCTAAAAATTTTCAAATGTTAACGCATGTCGCACGACGCACGACGCCGGACGAAAACGGATAGCAATAGGTCACCTGAGTGACTCAGGTGACCTAAAAAGGGAAAAAACAAAAACACCCCCCCCCAAAAAAAAACCACTTGTCAAACAAATAAATAAAATAAAATAAAATAAAAACAAGCAAACAAACAAACAAACAAAATAATAAATAAATAAAAATAAATAAATAAAAATAAAAGATAAACATTCAAAATAAAAACAGTCTGGGGGTGTTTATAAACATAGACCTTTATTTGATAATAGTACACAATGGTGATTTTAAATAAGGTGTAGGAAAGTCGATCTCTTCCCCTTCATAGAACCGGTATGTCACATTCTTCTTATGTAGGAAAGTCAAGAGAGAGAGAGAGAGAGAGAGAGAGAGAGAGGTGGGATTTGAAAATTCCCTGGTAACGTTATTTTTTTTACGAAAGCCTATTAGATTCAAACTACGGTAAAAAAAAAAAAAAATTAAAAGGCGTTATAACGCCTTTTGGAAAGGCGTAATAACACCTTTTGGAAAGGCGTAATTACGCCTTTTTTCGCGTTATAGCGCCGTTTGGAAAGGCGTAATTACGCCTGTTTCTGCATTATTACGCCTTTTTTCGCGTTGTAACGCCTGTTATATATATATATATATATATATATATATATATATATATATATATATTTTTACCGTAGTTTGATCCTAATAGGCTTTCGTAATTTTTAAACATTTGAATAAAACAGTAACAATTTGACATTTGTTTTATATACATTCAAAATTCATAAAGTCATTCTGAGGATGAACATGAAATTAAAGTGATTTTGTACCATTTAATACACTCATCAGATACATGTATGCACTTGAATTATGCATTAACCAGGTCTACAACGACCGTGATATTTTCCAAATTCCCCAGGGTCTGGCACACAGATCAAACCATGAGCACAAGGACACTGTTCTATTGCGTGCTGGACGTAGCAGACGTCATTCTCCACCAACAAAGGAGCGCAGTAATTGGTCACTCTCCGATGACGTAATAGCATGGTGTCATACAGCCCTCTTTTCCCGAGATCATTCCAAATATGGAGGCAACACTCATTTACTCCACATTCAGGATGACATTTGTACCAATCAAGATTTTGGGAATGAGAAGAATGAATAAAGACCTAAAAAAAAAAACGTTTTGGAGAAATGATCTATGACCTATATAATTATATTCCAGGTTCAACTCTGTCTTACTGCATTGTTTGACAATTATACACGATAATTCTACTTTATTTTTTAGATTTCTCATATGTAATACATTGTAAATGTGTACTAGAAGATTAATTTATGGAAAAAGGCGAATGAAAATATCCTTGGACCAAGATATATATTCGGGGGAGGGGGGGGGGCTGTCCACTAGCACCCGTGATTTGGTCTTACTAGAAAAAACAATCACTCCAAATTTATCTAGAATTATAACCAAATGCTTGCGTTTAGGTAATTTTGACGGATAGAAGATATATGTACAACAATGTTATGTCGCCGTAGCTGTTCTTAAATTGTTTAATTATAGCATCCCCCGAACCACAACCAACAATCTCGGCATCCAACTCTCTCTTTTCGGAAAAAGTCACAGCTAGGTACTAGTGGACAACCCCTCCAAAAATTGACAAGCTATTGGGTTGTATAATTGGGTGGGAGTGCCAAGGAATGAGGGTCTGTCCAAAAATATGTGCCTGTGAAAAAAAAATTAAACACTAACGTTAGACACAAGTGCTTGTGGACAGGACCCCCCCCCCCCTAAAAAAATCCCGTGGGTATGATTTTTTTAACATGTTTAATAAAACGATAATTCTACGGTATTTATGGGATTTTTCATAATGTAATACATTGTAAATGTGTACTTGAAGATTAATTTATGGAAAAAGACGAATAAAAATATCCTCGGAACCAGGGTGTATATATTCGGGGGAGGGGGGAGGATCCTGTCCACAAGCACCTGTGACGTTAGAGTGTTTAACCATACTGTAAAAACAGTGGGGGCCGACCAAATTTCAATTAAAAAAAATGTTCACACTAAATTAACAGCAAAAATTTATTCTCCAAAGGGATGAGGGGTTAGGGGCAAATATCATGTACCTTTACGAATGAAGAATCAGACGTAAATTTTCGCAACTGAAAAGTCATTTGATATACACCAATCTTACTTATATCTTAAGCTTAAATCATATTATCTAAAATAGATATATATAGGTATAACTAAAATTTTCGTATATATTTGAAATGCTTACCAAAATATTGACGACCAAAACAAAGTTTAGAAAGAACATGGAGACTTAAAATCAAGGTGGTTGACACTGTGGAATTCCTGTATTTTATCTAGTCCTGATAAGGTAATGCGTGCAAAGATACATATTATAATAGATAACTTTAACACGATATATACACAGGTCACTATTGAAGTCCATGTCTTATACATTTAGAAACCTCCGTTCACAAGAATGCGGCAGTGCATGTAAATGAAAAATTGTTAAGCATCACTAGTATTTTATGTGGAAACTTATAATGAAGTCCTTTCGCAGACGTGCATCTTCAATTGTAGTGTGTGTGTGTACATGTGTATGTCTGTTTGTTTAACGCCCCCTCAAGAACTTTTCACTCATATTGAGACGCCACTATTTGCCGGTGGAGGGCTGCCTATTTAGACATGAACTCGGCATTTACGGCTTTGAGCAGCGAGGAATTTTTTCGTACAAACACCAACTGCGACATGGGACCTCGATCTATACGGTCTCATCCGAAAGTCCGATCTCCATGTCACGCGTGGACTCGAACCCACAACGTAAGGATAATCCCTTACTCCGCAGGCCTGAAGAACGCAAGGGGGGGGGGGGGGGTATAGTATTTTGCTGTAGTAATTTTTTCTTTAATGTGCTGGTTGCCCCCCTCCCCCCACTTTTTGTTGTTGTAAGGTCGAGCACTGGCAAAATCCAGAATTTGGACATAAAATTAGGGGTTGGGGGGAGTTGGCCCTCCGCTTTTAAAACCTTTGCTACGGGCCAGCTCCGCTACTCTAGAGCAAAAGCTTTAACCACTGCGCCATGCGTGCGTGTGTTTTTACATTAGATGAGATACTCATGAAAGAAAATGATGAAAGAACCTCCTCATGAAGTACCAATGCTGAGGAGTACACTTATAACTGTAGGCCCGTAGCAACGGTATTAAAAGGGGGGAGTGGGTGTCAACCTCCAAAAAACTGAACAATAAAAAAAACCTTAACTGTCCAAAAGGGGCGGGAGCAAATTCCAAAATTAATATGAGAAGCAAAAAAAACCTCTTTAACTGTTCTAATCCCCGAATTTTCCAGTGCTCGGCCTTCAACAACAAAAAGTGTGATCGGGGATGGGAGAGGGATCTAAATTATAATTTACTATAGCAAAATTATACCATCTCGGAAAAAAAGCCCCCCCTCCCCCGCGTTCTACGGACCTGGACTGATAAAGCAGTTGAATAAATGAGGAAATAAATGTTTGTTGAGGTTACTTAATTGGTAAACAAATGTACTGTACTTAAAAGTATGTGCAGCTCGACTATAGAAAAACTGAAATCCTGCGCATCCTTACATACAGTTGAACTTCGGTATCGATCTCGAACACCGATATCTAGAATACAACGGATATATGGAAGTGATTTGGAAGTCTTTACATACATGTTACTTCAAATCTTAAACCAACGGATAACTTGAATATTTTTCTCTGTACCATCGAGTTTGGGATAACGAAATTCAACTATACTACAAAACTGCTACTTGCACTATACCTAGTTTCAATTTCGACATAAATATTACAGGTAAAATTTCTCATTTACGTTTCTATCCCAGTACATGAAAAAACATGAATATTTTCAAAATTTCTCCTGCAATATACTGTATATTCATGTATATGAAATATGTTATAGATATTCATCAATTTTATATTTATAATTATATTTATTTTAACAGAAATTGGCTTGGCACGGAGATTTTTGTAAAGGCTCTTTACGTACGATTATTTGTTACATAATTCTAAGCGTTTTGCTTTTAAAAATACACTTTCATGGACTTTTTTCTGTAATCTAGCAACTCCAACAGCTAGAGATTTTCAAGCTTTTATTAATACATATTACAACAAAGCATTTAATCATCAAACAACTGATATCCTGATGGTTCTGTTGTCATAGCATTGGAACTCTCCAGCATTGGAGGCGGGTTTAGTACTGTGGGATTGTAAGACCATTTGGGAAACATTCTCTTGTACAAGTTCATCAACACTGTGTCCTGTGATTTCAGATGTCCGTCAAACACACACTTCATGTGGCCATGGGTTCCTATTAATAAAAATTGTAAATTTTTGTACCCTCATACAGAAAGTTAAAATATATGGAGAAAAGTTTAATTTCAGTTTGTTGAATCACATATCTTAAATAAATTGAAATAATCTACAGTAAAACTTGTCTGATCCAATATTGTATATTCAAAGTTTCTTTCTTATAATCAATCATTAAAAATTTCGCATAATCCAGAGCAAATGACTATGGAACCAATTGTGTCCGAATCATACAAGTTTGACTGTAAAAGGTTTTATAACATGTGTACATGTATTTGACACATGGACTGAAACATATGCAGATATAATTTTTCACTAACCTAGAGGTTCTCTGATGTGACCTCTTCTTCCCCATTTTGTCCGAAGTTCCACGGGTTTGAACCACTCAATGTCCTCTGTAAATTAAACAAATGGATACATTAGTGCACAGGAAAATTTTTAAAATGAAATGATGATACAGTTATGTAATTCTGCTTAAGGAAACGTGCTGAAAAGTCTTAAAACAAAATCATATGTACATGTATATGTAGCTACTTTACAAGGAAATGCATGTACATGTACTGTATGAATTTTGTACATTTTTTTTCTGTAAGATACAATGCTACTTTGAAATATACATGTAGATATACATGCATAATGCAATGTAATTCAGTTGTTTTTTTTTTTAAATTCACAACATGCCTTCAAAAACTGAACATATATAACACGCCCATGTTGTCTAACAAATGAATAACAGACAGTTAAAAAAGTACAGTGAAAATTATCTTATCTGACACCTGTGTAATCCGTTTTACTGTGAATTCCAATAATAATTTTCATTTCCACTTTACTATTTTCCATGTTCTTTACTGTGTTCAATCTGACATTCTGTCTTTTCCAACAAAATCTGTCTCCCAGATCATGTCGGATTAGACAGGTTTCACTGTACTATCAGTGAAGATATCAAGAACCACCCACCTCTGTTGAAGAACATGTATCTGACGACTGCTGACCGTTTGTTGATTTTGAAGGGATGACCACTGAGTACAATACGTTTGGTGATGATTCTGTCAGGATCTACCGAGTGTAAACTTCCAGTAGCTACCAATTCATGTTGTCCTATCAAATAAATATTAATATAGATATACAAAATATACCTGGTGCTTTAAGTTTAAGGTTAAACAGGTAGATGCACACTTGAAAAGTTTTCACGGAATTAAGCTTAGACTAGTCCATTACACATTTATTTCGAAAGCAGAAATACCATATCTCACCATCATGCTGTTCTTTAAAAACCAGGACAGGACAAGGAGGAAAAGATATGGGCGCAAAAATAGTAGCCATGGTAACAGTATCATGGGCAAAAAATCTTTCAAACTGCAACAAAATACACAACATATTGCAAAAGTTTACACCATTTCAGATTTGATACTGAGCGGTACAAAAGTAGCATTCAGTATCAAATCTTACACTCTCTAGAAATGCATCTGTCTAATATAAAAGTCAATTTGTATATACTGGTACATGTAAATCCTGGATTCAGTCTAATTACTAACTGTATTAGTTAAGAGTAAGAGATCGTGACTTGATTCTGAAGTGTTAAGGCCATTGTAAATATATATGTTCTGCTACAGGAACAACTTTCTCAGTTACTAACCTTGTGCTTGTTAGCATTAGTGTGCTGTGAGAAAATCGGACATGCCGAGTATCTCCGAAATCCAACATGAAAGATAAGCCTGTCCTTGGACTTGATGGGTGGCCTGTAATCTGGTACCCGCTTTAACAGGAAGTTAAGAACGGACATCTTGTGTTCATGTGGCAGCAGGCCAAAAATCACAACAGGTGTTCCAGGTTTATATGACGCTGAAATACAGACAATGCTGAGTAAAATCTGACTTCAGAATTGGATGGTTGATCTCAACATTTTAACTCTCTCCTTCTCTCCAGTTCAGGTATTATTTTGATGAATGATGATTGATCTACTTACTTATAAAATCTTTTGGCACATTGGAAATATGGATCTGAATATACCAGCCACTCTATAAAAATATCAAATTAATAAAAAAAGTAAACTCCTAAATCATCATGAATCAATTTAATAAAACATAAACTAGTACTAAAATAATTACAGATTTCAACATTTGTCAACATGATGACCTACCAAGACTCCCTCATCTTCTAAATTTTTTAAAATCCTCTTCTTTGTCCTTTTGAAATCCTTAAATTGGAAAATTCTGGCATAGTCAGAGGGGAGGTTTTCTTTGGGATCCCATGGGGAGGTCCTGAAACTCTTCAATCCCCGGTACCTGTAATAGGGAAACAGATAGCTCTATCAATTATAAAGGTCTGTATTCATAAATAATACATGTATTATGAATGCTTCAAATGAGAATGCATTACATGTACAATATATTGAATTTTCCTTATTTCTTCTTTGCTAACAACTAAAATTAAAAGCAAAATTTTGGTTGAAAGAACTTAATCGTTTCATTTTTTTCTAACAATTTAAAAGAAATCAAATTTTTACTGTTACAGAGAACATGGTTAATTAAAATGACAGAAAAATTTTTTTCTTTTTCTTACATTTGTCAATGAATATGAGAGTCACAAAGGGGAAAGGGAAAGAAATATATTACATAGGTGTTATTTTCATACCTTTGAAATCTGTCTCTTGCATCCTTCTCTCGTGGGGTGTCAATTTCATCTGGAAACATAACATGACTTCTTTCCTCTTTAATTTTCTCCAGTCTAAAAATGTACGATATATCAAATTATTTTTAAATATTTTTTTATTGATAATTCAATAATTTACTTTAAACTTTAATTCTGCAATTAATTTTGTTGATTTCCACTTTTGTTTTACTTTCACTGATTGTGACAATGAAAAACATATAGTTTACATGCAGTGTTTGAAATAATCATATGCCTGAGACACAAAAATTTTGCTGAGGGCAAAGAAATTTGCATGTATTGCCATTCGGCTTGAGATGTTAAAATTTCCAATATATTGGATAAACCTCTCTCAAATCAACTTAAAGCATCGGTAGCAAAGTGTAACAAGCTTGGGGTCAAAATTTCTCAGTCTTTAGATTTGGATCAAAGTTATAGTGATCTGGTCTCAGTCATATAATCGCTAAAACCGATTTATAAAGACAATCATGTTCTCAGGCTAGTAGATCTTTGGCAGGGCTGACAACTTTTACTAGCCATCATCCCTGCATGTCTAGCTAATTTTATAGTTAGTTGCAAACACTGATACATGTGAGTAGTTTTCTTTAAAAAAAAAAGGATAAGCAGGTGACATGTAATACTGACATCCTCTCTTCTTCATCCATGTCAATTGTCTGGTCATAGTAAGCCACATCTCCAGCTTCAGTCACTGTCAACTACAAAGTACAGCTTTGGTCAAATCACAAATAAAGCTAAATAAAGTTAAAGAGCAAGGTCACTTAGGGCTTTTTTTGGCCCTGTGAATTCCTGAAAAAAAAACAAAACTGCTCAGTTTTGGTAGACAACGCACTTAATATCACTTAGAACATTGGTGGCTGCATATCTATTGACAATAATGCAATTTTCTCCCTATGTACTACTGTACATCTATACCTACTAAAGGTGTACAATATAAATTCCTGTGTACTAACTGTACATGTGTACTAACTGTACATGTATACCTACTAAGGTGTACAATGTACCGGTAAATCCCTGTGTATCATCTGTACATGTGTACCTGCTAAAGTTGTACAATGTAAATCCCTGTGTACTAACTGTACATGTGTACCTGCTAAAGTTGTACAATGTAAATCCCTGTGTACTAACTGTACATGTGTACCTGCTAAATGTGTACAATCTAAATCCCTGTGTACTGACTGTACATGTACGCCTGCTAAAGGTGTACAATCTAAATGCCTGTGTACTTACTGTATTATATGTATACCTGCTTAAAGTGTACAATCTAAATCCCTGTGTACTAACTGTACATGTGTACCTGCTAAAGGTGTACTATGTAGATCCCTGTGTATCAACTGTACATGTGTACCTGCTAAAGGTGTACAATGTAGATCCCTGTGTACTAACTGTACATGTGTACCTGCTAAGGGTGTACTATGTAGATCCCTGTGTACTGACTGTACATGTATACCTGCTGAGGTGTACAATGTAAATCCCTATACTAACCGTGTCGTACTCTACTTCCTCTTCTGATTCAGACCCCGAGGCATCGACAGCCATTATGTCTTCTTCCTCAATCTCTTCATCCTCGTCATCGCTTTCATCATCCTCTATCTAAAACGTGCGATGATTAAAACAAAGAAGGAAATTTTATAAACTATCTATCAACTCTGTTCTAAGGAGGTAAGAAAATGTTTACAAGACTAATCAAGACATTTTATTTATATTTGGATGAGTTCTTGAACATATCACTTAATCTGCTGAGTCTTAGTGTTGACAGCTATAAATCAGATTTTAGATTTATGCAATGGTACAGTTTTTTGGTGAAGTGAAATAGTATGGTCATTCTACACTTTAGATTCAGTGTAATTAACTGCTTTATTAGCAGTCAAGAAAGGATCAAAACTAAATTATGCCTTCTTGCTATGCTTTAAAATTTCATGCTTGTATAAATAAGATGGCCACTAGCCTCCTTCCTCTGTGTACGATAGTTACCTCTTCTTCCTCACTGTCCACAATCCAGGATGCCTGATATTCAGACGTCCCCTTGGGAACCCTTTTGACCAATTTAGTCTTAGCCTTTAAAGCAGCTGTTCAAATCATTAATAAAAAAATCATTTCCAAAAAAATTTACCAGTAAATAATGTGCATAAAGTATCTTAACGTAGAAAATCTCTTGAATTAATTGCCCCCAGAGAAGGTTATTTATATGTATATATATATGGAAGTTAATTGTACAGTTAATTGCATATACAATACCAATTTCATATTTCTAAAATCAGTTGAAATCAAATGCATTAGGTGCTCTTATTTTGAGAATTCTTTCAAATGAAATAATTTCAGGATAATGAACAAACAGTAAAAACTACAGTAATTTTTGGCAGTTCTTTAATTTCAAAACATTTTGAATTTGAATAAATATTAAAAATGAAACACTTTCGTCACCTATTTTCAGTGGCTTGTAGAATGGGATTTCAACCAGCACTCATTTCAGAATCTACCTCCAAGGGATCAAATGAAAAATCAGATTAATTTCTAGTGATACAGTGATGACTGACCTTCAGCTTCTGCCATCTCCTCCTCTGTGGGCCAGGTCTGCTCTCCCTCCATCTCTCCGGGGACGTTCTCACTCTGTAGGGACTCCTGGCGACCGGGGATGGCCCGCTCCAGGACCCTGGCATCTTCAGTGTCCTCCTCCATAGTTTCCTCCTGCAGCGGGTTAGAAATCAGTGATTCAAGACATGTCACCCTTAACACCATCTGATTTTAGTAAACTTCAGTATATCCCAAATAAATTCTAATTTTGATAAATGGGAGTCACCTAAGGCTTGTAACATACATGTAAAAAGAGAGATCTGCCTGAACTACTACTTCATAAAACTAATAATTAATAGCTACATGTCTTCTGCTGCTGGAAAAAATTCTATTTTTTTATGGACTGAGAATATCTTATGTTGTCATCTACCGTATTTGGCCGAATATAATACGCATTGGTGTAAAATACGCACCCCCCTTTTTGAGCCTGAAACTGGGGAAAAAACGCAGTTCGGTTGTATTATACGCAGCAGAAAATTTTACCAAGCGGTGTTCTGAACTTTTGAAAATCGAGGTAATTTGCTATGAAAATCGGCGCGGAGATAAAGTGCCGAAAATTTACAGAACACGATATTTTATTCAAATGCGTTTTTATTTTTTAATCTTGACTTTCCATATCGCGGCAATCTGGAGGAAATTATTTATTTTAACAAAGCACGAGATAATGTTGCATTAAAGTATTAACAGAGTTTATTTTTAATTTTTTTTAGCAAACGATGAAATTGAAATTTTACGTCGCCGTATTCTTACTATTCTTTGTGGAAATAATTTTATTTCAACAAAGCACGAGATATTGTTGCAAGTTTAACAGTTGTCATATTTATTTTTAGTTAACGGTAATCATGTTGAAAATTATGTAAATTTAACAGGGCAAGGGATATTGCAACATCGAAGTATTCATAGACTATGTTTTTCCTCTTTTGAACTTGAAATTAATTAATTAAATAAATAGCTGATGTTATAAAAATAAAATCAAAATTTAACAAGCGTATAAAGTGTAGTTATCAACACACCTCCAAAGTTGTGAAAAATGATGTACAACGGTGGGATATATGTCTTCATACATCGAGGTAATCTTCGTGGATATCCTATTTTCTACAGAGCACGAGTAAATGAAAACACTTAAGTTTCAACATACTTCATATTTCCTTTTTTAACTCTCAATCATTTTAACACGAGGCAGATATAAGATAAAGTAAAATTACATTTAACTAGTATTAATTGTAACGGGGACCGTTACAGATGTTCCCCAAATGCTCCCCAACTTCCTTTTGGTGTCTTATTCCCTGTAAGCTTCATTAAATAAGGCAAACAAGTATATTGGGGTTTTTTTACGCATTACACAAGCGCGCACTGGCATGCATGTACAAAATGACCATGTCAACTTGTCTACACTTTTAATACATCTTTATATTCAAATTTCATTAAAAGATAAAAAAAATTCGGCTATATTAAGTATATCTGTCATTTTACGCATTGCACACGCGCGCACGTGCATGCATGTCCATGATGACCGTGTCGTCTTGTCAACACTATAAATATATCTACATATTTCGGGTATCAAATCATTTCATCAAAAAGTATAAAAGTTACAGCTATATCAAGTATATTGGTCATTTTAGCATTGCATGCGTGCGCACGTGCATGCATATGCATGTTGACAATGTCGTCTTGTCTACATTTATAATATGTCTATATATTCTGAGTATCAAAGCATAACATCAAAAAATGTAAAAGTTATGGCTATATCAAGTATATTGGTGATTTTACTCATTGCACGCGCACGCACGTGCATGCAAATGCATGCATGTGTGCGCTGATCATGTCATCTTGTCTACACTTCATATATATATTTATATTCTGAGTTTCAAAGCAATTCATCTAAAAATATACAAGTTAAGTCTATATCATTCGTATAGGTTATTTCAATCATTGCGCATGCGCACACGTGCATGAATGTGCATTTTGACCATGTCATCTTGTCTACACTATTAATATATCCTGATATCCTGAGTATCAAAGCATTTCATCAAAAGAGTTGAAAGTTATGGCTATATCAAGTATATTTGTCATTTACTCATTGCACGCGCACGCACGTGCACGCACGTGGATGCATGTGTGCGCTGATCAAGTCTTCTTGTCTACACTTCTAATATATATTTATATTCTGAGTGTCAAAGCAATTCATCAAAAAATGTACAAGTTAAGTCTATATCAATTGTATTGGTTATTTTAATCAATGCGCATGCGCGCACGTGCATGCATGTGCATTCTGACCATGTCATCTTGTCTACACTATTAATATATCCTTATATTCTGAGTATCAAAGTATTTCATCAAAAGATATAAAAGTTATGGCTATATCAAGTATATTGGTCATTTTACTCATTGCACGCGCACGCACGTGCATGCACGTGCGCGCAAAATGACCTTCGTTCCGCAAATCTACATAACATTCCTATTAATCCTAAAAAGGTTTCAACTCAATCGGATGTATAGTTTCGGAGATCACTCACGGACAAAAAAGTACCCAGGAAGAAAAATAATAATAACTAGATGAGATCTCGTTGCGAGCAACGAGTAGGTCTTCCGTCCGATTTTTCGAAAAGATGAGATATGATTTTGACTATGATCTTTGTCAAAAGATAATAATTAATAGACTTCCCTAATTAGATTTCACTCTTTTGATTTATATAACATTATCAAAGAGCTATAGATGACATGCTTTTGGCCACTCTGAGCCCCTAGTTTTAGGGGTCAGCCCCTTTTTCTTGATATCAATTGAAAGGTCTTGTGATTTTAAAAACGTTTTAATCAAGAAATATTCAGAGATTTCTTTTCGTTGTGGAGATATGCTGAATGGAAATATTTAAGGGCCATCCCTAAAAGTCCTAAATGGGGCCGTTTGACAAAAATTGAAAGGGTGCATATTGTTAAGAACATAATTCTGACTATCTTTTGTTCTGTATTGCTTATCAAAATATTCCCCCTTTAAGAGATATAAAACGTCAAAGATTCAGCATTCTGGCCCCTTTTGACCCCTTATTACGTAACGTATGATCAGTATCTTATCATATATTGATGTAAATCGTTAAGATAAGCATGTTTGCTTCAGTAATGTACTACAAATTATTGATCGTTAAAGAGTTAAAGATGAAAGATTTTTGGCCCCTCTTAGCCCCTAATTTGAGGGGTCAGCCCCTTTTTCTTGATATCAAATGAAAGGTCTTGTGATTTTGAAGACTTTTTGTTCAACAACTATTCAGAAATCTATTTTCGTTTTCGAGATATGCTGAATTATAATATTTAGGGGCCAGCCCTTCAAGTCCTTAATGGGGTCGTTTTGGAAAAATTGAAAGGTTGCATATTGTTTAGAACATTATTCTGAACATCTTTTGTTCAATGTTGCTTTTCAAAATATTCCCCCTTTTTGAGATATAAAGCATCAAAGAATTAGCATTCTGGCCCCTTTTGGCCCCTTATTACGTAAAATATGATCAAAATTTTAAAACATATAGTTGCAAATCGTTAAGATGAACATTTTTGCTTCAGTAATTTATAACAAAATATTGATCGTTCAAAAGTTATACATGAAAGACTTTTGGGCCCCCTGAGCCCCTAATTTAAGGGATCAGCCCTTTTTTCTTGATATCAATTGAAAGGTCTTGTGATTTTGAAGATTTTTTGTTCAACAACTATTCAGAAATCTATTTTCGTTTTCGAGATACGCTGAATTGAAATATTTAGGGGCCAGCCCTTCAAGTCCTTAATGGGGCCGTTTTGCAACAATTGAAAGGTTGCATATTGTTAAGAACATTATTCTGAACATCTTTTGTTCAATATTGCTTTTCAAAATATTCCCCCTTTTCGAGATATAAAGCGCCAAAGATTTAGCATTCTGGCCCCTTTTGACCCTTTATTACGTAACATATGATCAAAATTTTAAAACATATAATTGCAAATCGATAAGATGAACATTTTTGTTTCAGTAATTTATAACAAAATATTGATCGTTCAAGAGTTATATAGAAAAGACTTTTGGCCCCTCTGAGCCCCTAATTTGAGGGATCAGCCATTTTTGTTTGATATCAAATGAAAGGTCTTATCATTTTACACATCTTTTCTAATACATGTTTTAACAAAATATTTACAGGTAAAAAGATATAAAAGAAAACGTGTCAAATTTTGCGAGATATTTATGAGCCTATTTTTCGAGCCCAGGCGAGCTTCAACGCCATTTGAGCTGGAAAGATATAGATGCCCAATTGCACATCTACAATCTTTCCTCTATCTTCACTGAAAATCTTAACTCAATAGCTTTAGTCGTTTAGGAGGAGATTCCAGGACAAGCTGACCCTCTGAAAATCAGAAAATCGTCAATATCTCACGACCGGAAGTGACGTCATCAAAAAACAAAAAAACCTATCAAGATCAATTGAATCTCTTTTACATCTGAAAGTTTGGTGTAAATCGGCCCGGCCGTTTCTGAGAAATCGCGTGCACAAAATCGGTTGGAAGAAAAATAATAATAATAATAATAATAATAATAGGGAAAAAGAAACCGAACGAAAACAATAAGGTCTTCCGTTGGAGACGGAAGACCTTAACTAGAAACTCATTGCGAGCAATGAGAGGTCTTCCGTGTGATTCTGAAAATAAAAAAGAAAAGTCAAGCTGAAAAAGTGATAAAAGAAATTCAGACACTCTGGAGATTTAACCCTAATCGTTAGCATGAAAATCCAACGTGCTAACCATTAACCATTCACTTTCTTACATCACTTCCTTTCACGACCGGAAGTAACGGTGATGCAAGATTTTCTCACGATTTAAATAAACTGATGACTGAATATCAGTCCTGAAAGTTTTAGTCCTCAGTCGTTTACTGTTGCCGAACAATATTGTGGGACTAAATTCTAATTCTGAGAACAGGTAAACACACAACCGGAAGTGAATTTTATAAAAATCTCTGACTGGTCTCTAGACATTTGCAGTATCTACAACATGCATGAAATCATTTCAGGTACTTCATTGATACGGGATATTTATGAGAAAGTTAAATATAAGAATAACGTAGTTTATCTCCTAAAACCGGAAGTTGACGTTTTTGTTTCCGG